GCAATATCAGACTACTGCACTTGATGATCTCAAATTGGCATGCTTTCTAAGATATGGTATCAAGAAAGAGACAGGATTACGGGTTTCGTGGCTACAGAGCCCCTGTTATTCCCAGAGCTCCTCGATCTATAAGGGTAACAATTTTTCTCATGTGTTCCCAAACCGCCTTCAGTATTATTCGCAATGTCACCAAGCATCTCATCCATTTTTTCTTCCCAGAGGAGGGGCCCACCCAAGCATTCGTTTGAAGAAAGCAAACTTTGTGCCTTTGAACTACTCGCAGCTGTAGCCGGTAAGTTGTTGCAGGAGAGTGAAAGCTCTGCCTCGAGTAATGTAGCCGGAGCAAATGAAAAGCAGTCTATTTCTGGAAATGGAAATGGTAAGGGCCAGCTTATTGATGATAAGGCTTTGAAATCAGATAGCTTCGAGCATGGAAGCTGTGCCGAGAGTGCATTTGTTCCTGAGATATCCATTCAAGAACAAAATCTCCTCCCCAGCTTCAAGGAGAAACCTGTGAGTTTGGATGTCCTACAGAAAGTTGATTGCGGTGTGCAACTTGAGGAGGAGTGTAGATTCAATAGGAATGGAAATAGTGTTGGGGGATCAGCTTGTTTTGGTGATAGCTTCAACATTAATGTCGAGAGTGGACGGAAAATGGATTTGGGGGATGAAAAATGTCAAATAGGTGAACTGTCAATAGCCAAGACGTCTAATGTAAAGGAACCTAACGAAGAATGTGTTAATAGTAATTTGATAATTAATTCAGATAGTAGTGTACAGTTGCCCGTGTACAGGGAGCCTATTGCTGATGCTAGCTTGCAGAAGCAGTCAACTGATGTAAAATTAGGAGTTAGAGATGATGACGAAAATTCTTATAGGTGCAAGAAACTTAGCACCAAGGTTAGGCCCTTTAAGCCTCAACCAGGAACCGAACACCGTAGAATAAGAAGGATGATGGCATCCAAATACAGAAAGGTAGCTCCAAAGCGAAAGGGTCATGAACTTTTTAACATTAGTAAGTGGTGTTTACAATATTCTCAAACACTCTAAAACATATCATTTGCATAAGTACATAACTGTGCTTCTTCATCTTATATCTTCAGGTGAGGGAATGAAGTCGTTTTACCAGTATAGGAAGCGAATCTATACACGAGAGTGGTTTCAACCAGCACCTATCAAGAAAAGGAAGTTGTCTGGTAACAGATATTCAGTTGCTTATGATCAAGATACCAGCAGCGGTAGTATCTCTAATTTGCCAGAGAAGGGAAATAGGACAGGTAATATTCACTCAGCCTATGCCTCTATAATTTGAATGTTACAGTTTTGACAGTATTTATAATTAACTTCTTTTTGGTTCCTATTATCTTGCAGCTAGTGATACAGTGAACGACTATTCTAAAGGCAAGGACCCACATGGTATAAATATATCCCGTGTGTGGGATGCTGACTCTTCTTTTGAGTTTAGTTTTGATTGTGATATAATTAAGAGTTCTTACACTAGTTTCGTCTCTCCCATGATCCCATCAGTGAAATTCAGCATCAAGTCTTTCAAGGTGCCAGAACTTTACATTGAGGTCCCGGAAACTGCAAGTGTTGGTTCCCTGAAGGTTTGTGTTCATTTACTTTACAGCTTTAGTTACATAATGAAGGATCATTTCTTCGAAATGCATCTTTAGACTGCTTATTTGAGTATGATAAGCCCATTATGAACCTTTCTCATTACTGATGTCAGAGCATCCTTTAGTTATTGAGACATTACACCTGCAATGAACTACACTAGGTAATTTCGATTAGGAATGTACTAATTTATGATTTTTATTTTTATTTTTTTTTATTTTTTTTTTCAGAGATCCGTGATGGAAGCAGTTACAGCTATTCTGGGGAGCGGAATACGAGTAGGTCTACTTTTTCAAGGGAAGAAAGTCAGAGATGACAATAGAACTCTGCAGCAAGCTGGTATTTCTCAGAGTAATGATCTCGATACCCTGGGTTTCACGTTGGAGCCGTGTTTTACTCATGTTTCCTCAGCAAAGGCTGCTGCTAAGAAGAAACTCTCCCCAGTATTAACATGTGAAGAAAGTCCCAGGTACGAAGAATTCCTTTTCTCCATTCCGTGAACTTTCTACTGCTAAACCAACTCTTGATGATTGCATTTCATTTTCGAAAATGATGCTGTGTTGTACTGCACTTTGTTTTTTCAAAATGTTCTTTTGAAAATGAGTCCTTTAATTGAACTTGATCGATTGATTTCCTTTCTTTATAATGTTTGTAAGTTGTATTTATTCAGGTCTCCTGCCACTCCAGTGATCGATTCATCAATCTCGAATGCTTCAGTGGACCCACCACCGACCCATTTGGTCAATAAATCTGATGATGAAAACAAGGACAACAAGAGACTCGTATCATCCTCCCTCGAGTCGCCCGATGATGAACGAATGGATGGAGGGGCTGCTGCTGTTCCTGAGCCCAGTAATGCTTTAGTAGCATTGCCTCCAATGAATGTGGGCCCACTTGCAGTGGTCCCTGTCGACTCTAAACCCAAGCGTTGTGACCTTTCGCAGCGTAGAACCAGGAGACCCTTCTCAGTAGCTGAAGTCGAGGCGCTCGTTGGAGCAGTTGAAAAACTCGGGACCGGGAGGTACCTTCTTTTGGCATGATATGAAATTTTGATGAAGGATTATTTTTACAGTTATGCCCTTTTATCCATGAGCTATCACGTTTTCATTCATAATAAGCATGTTTCTTTCTTTCTTTCGTTTTTTTTTTCCCCACTCGTTGTGCAGGTGGCGTGATGTCAAAATCGGTGCTTTTGAGAATGCTGATCATAGAACTTATGTTGATCTGAAGGTTTTTCTTTCATAATTGTCCAATTTTATCTTCTTCGATTATATTATCATCTTCACTGCACATGCTTTTTAATTTATAATTAATGCCATTTACTGATAACTAGAGAAAGCAAAGAAATCATTCATTCACATGGGATCTTGTGGATAAGAGACCTTATATTCATTCAGATTCTTAAAAGTCACATATTGCCCAATTTATTATCTTTTTAGGATAAATGGAAGACTTTAGTTCACACGGCAAGCATATCTCCTCACCAAAGAAGAGGCGAGCCGGTCCCACAGGAGCTGCTGGATCGTGTTTTAGTAGCTCATTCGTATTGGTCTCAACATCAGTCCAAACAACACGGCAAGCCCCCAGCAGCCGAGCCTTTGAAAACCGAGGATCCTCATCGTGAGGAGATTGTCGGAGCTTGAAGAATCTGCCGAAAATGTAGAAAAAAAATGTTACTATTATAGGAAATTATAACGTTGAAGCTGTAAAAAATGAAAATTTGTCGTATGTAATTATTTCTCACCAACTGATTCATTGGCTGTTCCTTTAGCCTTTTCATGCTCTTCGGGGTAGACTCTATTTGTTTTGAACTTTTGTTTATGTACATTATTGTGGAATTAACGGTATTTTAACAGGTTCAATATTTTTATTTTATATAATTGTATACAAGTTCGCATATGTCTAAGCCGTGTTGTATGCGAAGTGATCATGTGCCCATACTAGTACTCATTGTTCTGAAAACCTGACGGGACCGTCGGTTCAACCGGTTGGATTGGGAATCGGCCTTCATTCTGGTTCGGTTTGAACCATCAAACCGCCCAGCATTTGAACCGGTCGAAAACCGTTCGAACTGGTGAATTGGGAGCGGTTCAAGATTTTGAATTTGAAATGAGTTGATTGTAAAAAGATTTAAATAGCACAACATTTTTTATTTGTGTTTCCAATGTGAGATATGTTCACTTGCTAAAATTATTGAGCCTTATAAGTAATATTGCACTCTTAAAAAAATTGCTATTTTTTAAATTGGATTATCTATTGAGTTATGTCTATTTTAAATTATTAAAAAAGAGATAAGCAAATTAATTTACATTATTTTATTTTTTATTTTTTAAATAAAAAATAAAAATTTTAAAATGTGATTAAAAAATAAAAATATGGTTGTTTATGTTCTTTATTTTGTAACCTAAACATATATTAAAATTTTAAATATAAAAAATAAAATAAAATATTGTCAGTTGTATCTATTATTGAATTATTCTTTAGAGAAATGTCACACACTATATAAAATTAATGATAGAAAACATATATAATTATATATTATATATATTAAATGAATAAAAATTATATATTAATTAAATCAGTTCGACCAAAAAAACATTGAACTAGTAGCTTTACCAGATCGGTTTTCAGAGCCATGATATTACTACAAGATTTGAAAAACTATTAATAATAATTGTAAGCTGAATGATGCATATATAATTATTTTAGTATAGTTTTTTCACTAAATAAATGGCTATAAAGAAAGAGGTAAGGGCAGTCACAAGATATCAAATCAGAAAATGATTAGCTGTGATTACATGCAGTATAAAGCAGATATATTTAATTAAATCATATAAATAAATCATACTACTATATTTCGTAGTATAATTCAATATGTAAGAAATAGATCCGTGTTTTGTGCTTTATTATTTTATTTATAGTTTGGTGGTGACACCCAAAATGCACGTTGGGTCATGTGAAATTAATTACAGCTACAACTGTTGTTGCAGCTTCAAAGTTGGGATATATAATGATCGGTTTTGTTATGAAGTCAACACTTGGCTTCATAGCAAAATCGTATATATGGTTGGCCACTGTGTATATTATACTATTTGTTTTGGAGGGTAAATTTGAGAAAATCGTATTTAAAAAAATAAAATAAAACAATTGCGCAAATAAGTGTAATCATTAAATATTGGATTATTTTTGTCACACATCTAATTAAATATATAATATATACCACCAAGAAATATCAAATTTTTATTTAGGTAGTTTTTCGAACTATGTTACGTCTGATTTCTGGATGAAAGTATATATATTTGTTTTCGAAATATGTTATGTCTGATTTCTGAATGAAAGTATATATATTTGTTAAAAAAATATTTTCTCCTATTCTTTTTTCACATAAGTTAAGAATTTTTTTTTCTTGTTAATGTTAGCCTTATTTAAAGCAAATTAACATTAATTAATTTATATCTTTTTAGCTTTTTTATGTTCTTTTAAGAGAGAAAATTTATCGTCGTATTCCACTCCACAACTTTCCTCTCAAAACGTGTAGGATATTAGTTAAACGGTGTGATTTAATTTTTTATTTTTTTCTTTTTCATTTAGTCTTGTATTGCACACAAAGAAAGAAATAAGTAGTACTAACAATTATGAAAAAGGGTAGTATGGTAGTTGGGAATACGTAAACATCAAGCAATTAATTAAAGAAACTGATAAAGTAAACAAACTTAAATACATCACTGTATTTTTACAGTTAAGCAAGCATCCACCACACAATACATTACTTTTTTAGATCAAGCTGGCAAATTCTCTCTTTTTTTTTTTTTT